CAAATAATATATATATATATTCGGAACAATTTAAATGTATGTACAAGAAATTTATCAAACTATAGAGAATATAAGTATATTGTAAATGTTATATCAATATATATGTATAGTTCTCTTATTTTCAAAAGTCCACTTAGGTCTGTTCACTGACTTTAGAATCTCAGTTGACAAGCTGAACTATCTTCTCTATATTACTATCGTACTAGTATTCTGTGTGTGATTCACTTACAGTTGTGGCCCAAGTTTCTGTAATTCGTTTGGTCTTCTTTCTTATGAAGATCCTCTGTTCCTTTTGTCAAAGTGTACCCAGGCTGATTCAATTATTTAGAACCATGCTTTGACAGAATAAAATTATCCTTATATTTTTTTATACTGTTAGTTTCACTCTAACATATTAAGCGTTAGGCCTATCACCTTTGCGGTACTTAACTTCACACAACTATATTCTCTTTCGCTATTACCTGTCTGTTGTTGTCTGTCTGCTGCTTCCCGCTTGTCTCACGCTATTTATTTCTTTATTACATAGTCGTCTGGCTACTTTCTATATTCTCGACACCAATTAGATATTGACAAAACCTTCTACAATCGTATGCTTTTAACTCTTATTATAACAAAACTTTAAAATAATAAAATATGAACTCACAGATATAAACTTATCACTAATAGTTCAACTAAACAGTTTTTTATATCATGACAATCTGTCTGTATCAAAGGTCATTTTTTATACCACTGTCATACTAATGGCCAGAACAAAAGAAAGACAAAACCTTTTCTAAATCTAAAAAAAAAAAACTTATTTGTTTTAACCGTTTCTAAAAAAAATTAAAAAAATGTATACTTGTTTCAGTTCTATAACTCGTAAATATGAATTAATGTTTAACACTAGAAAATGAAATGGAAATCTCATAAAATTAAATGTATTGTCAAGAATGTAAAAATCTTAAAAAATAACTTTCCTCAATTTGTCCACCCTCTATGTGCATAATTTTTGTTCATCCCTAGCCTTGAGACTCCCACCTAGTATCACATGTTTACACGTGGTATAACTGCATTGTAGTATGCAAATGAACATGTGACAACTCTCGATCAATAGGAGTGCGAGACTCTCCTAGTGCAGTTGACTTCCTCTATACTGTAGAGTGCAGTCATCACTTTTTGATGTAGCACTCATGTCTAATGATGTGTCTTTTATTGATCAAGAGCTTTTTCAGTGGAAGTATCTCCAAAGACATTGTTTCACAAGTGTCAATAACTTCCAATTTGTCTGGTGAGAAACAACACAACTTTGTTCACAATAGCCTACCAATTACATTGACATTGGGTGTGTCTTTGTCTGTTTAGTGAACTGATGGCTTTTGTGCAGCAGGTGGTAGAGTCTTTCATGTGGCCTGAGCCTTCTTTTGTCCCAGACGTACCTCCGCCTATGTTTTTCGTTCATGACAGAAGGGATTTTGCCATTTTTTCCCCACCAGGTACCTATGCTTCATCTTATAATCATATTGTCTTGATTCTACCTCAGCCTTTTTTTCATGGTTTCATGACTAGGTTTCTCAGGTATGTTTGTACATATTCAGTTATTTTTCCAACTACTTTAGGGCATACATGCCTTGTCCTCCATCCTTTGTTACCTCATATGACTACACATGACCTAGTGCTGTATTATCTTTTTTTTTACTCCTAAACTCTGGAGTCTTTTTCTTTAGATTTAGAGGTTAGATCCTTTGTCTTTTGTTCATGTTTCTAGGCTTAGGTTTTCCTACCTTCGTCTTAAACACCCTACCCTTCCCCATTATTTATCCTTCCTTAACCTTTCCTTGGTAATCCACCATTCTCTTGTGGAGTTTTCGATGGATGCTCGTTCACTTATCTTTTATACAGTGACATTATTATCATCCTTGCCATTTTCACTTCTTATTTGGTTGATCTTTTGTTAAAGTGAGTTGGGGTATGATGCCCTTCTTACGCATTTGCTTTTGCCTCTCTTACATTTGATATGCCTTCTTTTGGTTCCTTTCATCTATTTGTAAGATTTTACTGGTATGCTTGTATCTCTGGTATTATATGTTGGGGCTACTTGCAAGTGTTGTACCTTACCCTCACTGGTTTTCTCTCTCTCTTTCCTGATCTCCTGCTTTCTCTCTCTCTCTACCACCACTTACCATTTCTCTTCCCATCTGTTCTCCCACAGCTCATAGACTTTGGTGTTGTCAGTCTTTGTGATGACTGTCCTATAGGCTCAAGGTCAGTAGGCCTGTTTTGTTTGGTTTATGGACATTTGCTATCTGTTTGCCACCAATTGGTTTGTACTGGGATTTCAATCAGAGAGCTTTAACCTTTGTTTTTCCTCTCCTCCTCCTCCTCCAATGTCTCCTGATGTGGTATGTTCAGCCACGGGCTCAGACGACCCATTGGAGGGTATATCATAGCTCAATCACCGGGAGATTGAGCAGTATATGAGCCTACTTCTGCCCAACTTCCTCCTGAGCCTTTTGGGCGAGGCCAGGCTGTAGACGATTTTGATCGTTTGTTTTCCTACCAGGAATTTGCCATGCTTTCCTGTTAACTACCTGATGATTCAGCCCATCTGTCATCGATATTTTCAGATTTTATCACTCAGGTATGTGATGTTTTGTCTCTTACACCTGTTTCCTATGGCCCTAGACCTTTCCTCTTACATGAAACTTCCCGACCCAAGTTAGTCTTTCCCCCGTCCCCTGATATTTGAGTTCACGTGGACCGATTTGCCTCTCAACTGGGGAGGGTGTTAGTATGCTCTGTCTCCCATAGACTTTGGATCAGTCTGACCTTGCTTATAATTGTGCAAACTTTCCTTTTCTCGACCAACAGTTGTTAGGGGTGGTTCTCCCTGTTTGGAGGTGCAAAAGAGGCTATTCACAGGAACCCTGAGGGGGTTTCTGCTGACATTCTCTTCATCCTTACTTCTACATTGACTCGTCTGTCATCATAGGCTCTCATGCTTCAGACGTTGTTTGTTTGTTGTTGGTACCTCTTGGGCCATGATATGATTTTCGTGCAGACCCATTTCCAGGCTCCTTAACTGAGGGACCTCTGTATGGTGCTGTTTTTGAGGCGTTATGTGTTTGACTCGACTCCTGAGTCTTTGGAGTCACAGGTGGCCTCAGCCAATCAACCTTCTACTCTTACTCACTTTGTAACTCGTTTGTCACAGTCGGGGCCGAGTGCAACACCGATTTGTGTCCCCCGACCTCTTCCTGTCCCACAGGGCCATGATTCTAGGATTTACTATGTGGTCTGTTTGGGCCCAGTGGGGGCTTGTTTATTGAATTTCGTTCATCTGTGGGGACCTTTTCTTGCCGATTTCTGGGCTCACCAGGTACTCTTGGAGGGATTTATTCAAAGGCCTCTATTATCCAATGTTCCCATTCCCTTCCATTCTCCTCAGGATCCCTTTACATGCCAGCATCTGTCTGAGGCAGTTCAGGACCTCATCACACAACAGGTTTTCAAACCAGCTCACCAAGTTCACAGGGTTTTTACTCCCACCTGTTTGTGGTTCCCCAGAAGACTGGGTACTGGTGTCCTGTCATCGATTTATTTCGTCTCAGTCAGTATGTTCATATTCTTCACTTTACCATGGACACATATCTTTCTCTTCAGTGGGCATTTCTCCAGGTCTTTGGATGACCAGGGTGGACATTTTCAATGCTTACCCACACATTCCTGTGATGGAGTATACCCTTCTATATCTTTGGTTTGTACCATATGTGTTTTGTCGTGTGGTCTGCTCCTTTGCTCGACATATTCATGCCATAGGGTTGCACTTCCATGTTTATATGGATGACTGGCTT